CGATATTTCCATTTGGCACCTTAACTGTACTGCGATGTGTAACTATGTTGATCTTGTGGTACTGTAGGGATCACAGCCAATTCGCTCCAATATTCACCAATATAAGTTCAATAAACATATTGCATGTAAAATATTTTTTTTTGAAATCTAGGGATTGTTCAATTTGCGAAGCTAAATGGTCTTTTTTTTCGTGAAAAAATTGGCTCTTTCGCAATTAATAAAGTATAAGTACACGTACTTGTGAATGCACGGTACGGTTTCCGTGATATTTATTTATTTTCAAAGTAAGAAGTTAATTAAAACAATATACTTTATTCACAAAAGTTCGAAGTATTTGCGTTTATCATATTAGTGGTAAATGTATCAATTTGACAATTTTCTTGTATTATGTAGTGTCTATATCGAAATAATTATGAAACTTTTTCAAGAACAGTACAAAAGGTGAAATTCTATGGTTTTTAAAAAGAGAATTTTAAAACTCATATTATTATTGTATGTTTCATTTCAAAAAGACATCTATGAATTTAGACTGTTTATATGTGATATTTGAATAAATCAACAAGATCATGATCACGTACTTGTTGATGTAAAATTAAAAAAAAAAAATCGCAACGAATTGCAAGCTTATTAATTTTTTTTCCAAAAAATTCAATATACTCCAAACCTTCATAACAGGAAACAGGAATTTTAAAATATAAAATTTATACATGTATATATAATTCAAGTCACAACAATGCAAGCTCATTCAGTAAACAAAATAATGATACTATAAAGTATTGGCATAGTTTTGTCTTTATTTCTGCAATGCACATTAGAAGAAAAAGGCAAATGTGAAGGGTAAGGTCGTATTTATTATATAAACATTAAGAAGTACCTGTCATAGATTATGGAAATTTAAAGAAATTGAATTTAACTTAATAAAAAAGAAAAAAAAAACTTAGACGTTCTGTCCGATAAGGAAACACATTGTATTCACATTGTCCAGAAATTACGTGATTGAATTTTTGATAATTATACATTTGTAACTATGTTGATCTTAATATTTTCAAAACCCATTGTGGTACATGTACTAAGGGGTTAAAAATTGGACAATAGCAAATCAGGCATCGGTAAAATTTCATTAATTATCCGTAGCTTATCAGTGATTTATTTATAAAAGGTATGAACAGAGATTTTTTTGTGAAAAATGCACCCTACAATAAAAAAAATCAATTTATATGATGCTGATCCGTCACATATTTATTGATCCCTCTATCATGTTGTAAATTTTGAATTTACTAGGGGGAGGTAAATGCAAAATTTACAACATTATCATGTTGTAAATTTTGCATTTACCTCCCCTAATAAATTCAAAATTTACAAGACGATACCTCTTATTAATTTTTTTTACATCTAGCAGGCAAATCATTTGCGTGATTATATTGAGATTGATTCATGAGCTGTCGACCTAATTTATGAAAACCATGCAATTTCTTTGAGGATAGTAAAAATATTAAAATAAAGAAATGTAAGAAGTTCTTTGTTGACATTTATGAATAATTATAATGAAGAAAATAATAATAATAATAATAATAATAACTTTCGCTAAAAATATTGCAGAGAAGCATACGGATCTTGCAAATGAAATCGTGGTTACTAATGTCGAAAGAGGATGTTGAATTGATTTTGATACTTATGAAGTCTAGGTCCAAAGGCTTATTTTTTATGATTTTCCCCAAGAATTTTGATATCCCTATAATTGACCAAAGTGCTCTCACGTTACACCGAATTACTAGTTTTTAGAATGTGAAACATACTTCTTCCTTAAACAAATGAAATACCAGTCTAGTATTCAGGGATTTATTTGCTTAAATGCATGTATATTCATAGGATCATAAAAATTTTGTTAGTGCGAATTATCAGTATGTATTCCAAGGTACTCAAATATATGCAATAATGACCAAAAAATCTACACGGACTTCTTTTGCTCATAAAACTCAAGTCTACTTAAAGATTCATACGCATGATATTTGTGTTAAAATGATAATGAAAGATTTAATTTGTCTAAACATTTTTTTAATATTATTTTAATGATTTTTGAAGTGTGTATCATAATCTACAAAATCAGAAATCACTTTAATTTTGAAACATTTATCTATTCATATATTAATGAAAACCCGTGAAATTCTTAAAAAAAAACTCTTTTAGAATCAACATCAGTGTAACGGAAGCCTTCAAAGGAGTTTCCCTCTACTGAGCAAAGGTTAATAACTATTGTTTATATATCAGCCAACACTTCTAGAAGTTCAGCAGGGGCAATAAGACAAGATTACATACCATCATTTTCCGTAACAGAGAACCCATTATTTTTCTGCATATCTATTCTGTTGAATATTTTTCCTTTTGATATTACACGTATTATTCTTGTATCCGATATTCAAAACCATTTGTATACCGCTTTCATGAGAAGGCAATGAAGCCTAATCATTAAGAGGAAATAGAACTTAATAATTTCTATACGTATCTCTGCAATGTTCATTCAATTAACATGAGTGACATTTTTCATTTGAAACAAGTCTCTCTCGGCTTACTTTCGGGCTAAGAATAAACCTCGTCCATGACCTTCAATACACAGGAAGTCGAGTACCCATTATTGCCGCTTATATCTTTTCGTCATTATTCACCAATTAATTGCTAAATGAACCATCCAATTTTAAATTTATGACAACAAAAGACAGAAAAAAGTCTATAATGTAAAATAATTTAATTAGAAACGCAATTTAATGTTTATTTATAATTTTTGGTGATATTTTTTTTTCGATTTTGCTACGGCCACATGCGCTACTCAGGCCTGACAATGACCGAAACGCTATTTTTCCAAGTTAACACAGTCTTGTGACATATTGTAGAAAGAGAAGTTCATGTCTCGTCGGTTGCAAAGCTTTGGCAAACACTTTTAAACCAGTTTTTGCATAATATCGCTTGTAAACCAGCCTTCCAATACTCCTTTCAACATGGTGGGCGGGGCTTCGTGGTTAAAGCAGACCCATGGTCATGATGATGCACTACCACATCGATCGCAGTAACTGGATGTAACTGGTCAGTATCAATTGAGAATTTCTCAATAATATGAATGTTGTGTTCTCGTATTCAGTGTATTAATAAACAACACTATATAGCCGTATTAACAATCCAGTGAACTGTTTATATTAACTTTACTATGTGTTCGGACATCAGCATCCAGTCTCAGGAATATCATATTACATTGCCAGACTTAATACTCTGTACATGTGTTTGTATGCTTCAGTCTATAATAAAATGCTAATCTGTAAAGATGCCTTCTAGTACTCATTTCTTGTGTTAAACAAAAACAACACATTCTTAGCGACGAGGATTTAAAACAATGGCGGGATATATAGGGAAAATTGAGGCGTTTGATGACACAATTGATACGTGGACAGTGTACACGGATTTTAGAACAGTACTTCGAAGATAATGGAATTACGGGCGACAAACGTGTCCCTGCGCTCCTAAGTTTGATTGGGGGAAAGACTTACGCTTTACTAAGGAATCTTACAACACCAGATGAACCAAAGGACAAGAGTTTTAACGAAATTGTTAAGGTTCTTAAAGATCACCTATCGCCAAAACCCTTAGTAATTGCGGAAAGATTTCGTTTCCATAAAAGAGAGCAAAGAGAGGGCGAACGTGTCAATGAATATGTCGAACTGATCAGGAAACTTTCTGAGTATTATGACTTTCAGGATCTAAATGACACTCTTAGAGACCGATTTGTTTGTGGACTCCGAGATGAACAAACCGAGAAGAAATTACTGTCCGTGCAGGGGCTCACCCTGGATAAAGCAATTCAAATAGCGGTCGCTACGGAAATCGCATCAAAAGACGCATTGGAACTGCAAGGAAAAAGTCGCGAGTCTGGAGTCAACAAATTAAAATTCCAGAAATCAAAAGCAAAGTTGGAAAAATCAAAACCTGTGAATTGTTACCGATGTAACAAAAGTGGCCACCGAGCAGAAGAATGCAGATTCAAGGATGCAACATGTCACAAATGTAAAAAGAAAGGACATATTAAAGCGGCATGTCGTGCGAAGGACCAGTCATTCAAATTTCCAAAGAAAGTGCATGCAGTAGACGAAGACAGTGATATAGGATTGGGGCCACACTAATTGTACCGATAGTAAAGAGATCAGGTGATATCCGAATTTGTGGGGATTTCAAAGTTACGATAAATCCGCAACTTGAAATAGAGCAATACCGATTGCCTCGCATTGAGGACATACTCGCTTCATTGGCAGGTGGACAGAAATTCTCAAAGATCGATCTGAAGAACGCATATTTGCAACTTGAAGTAGAAGAGGAATCAAAGAAGTTTCTTACAATCAACACACATTGAGGATTGTACCGTTACAACCGACTCCTATCCGGGGTAGCGTCAGCACCTGCAATATGGCAACGCACTATTGACACAATATTGCAAGGATTAAATGGAGTACAGTGCATTTTTGGATGACATGGTAATTACGGGTAGGAATGATGCAGAACATCTTGAAAATTTACGCCATGTTCTACAGAGACTGGAGGAATATAACTTGAGAGCGAATAAATCCAAGTGTCAGTTTTTCCAAGACCAAATTGAATGCTGTGGTCATTTAATTGACAAACAAGGATTACACAAAACCAAGGATAAAATTAACGCTGTGTTGGACACTCCAGAGCCAACCAATACCTCCCAACTTCGTGCATTTCTAGGTCTTGTGAATTACTATCACAAATTCCTTCCAAATTTATCATCTGTTGCACACCCGTTATACAAACTCTTGGAAAAGGAAGTCAAATGGCAGTGGACCAAAGAATGTCAGGAAGAGCTCGAGGAAGCAAAAAGGTTGGTAACTTCTGATCAAGTATTATGTCACTATGATCCAAACTTACCAATCAGGTTAGCGTGTGATGCGTCACCTTTTGGATAAGGGAGAGTGTTGTCGCAAGTGTTGAAGGACGGGATGGAACATCCGATCGCGTTCGCTTCAAGAACTTTGAATAAGGCTGAGAGAAAATACAGTCAAATTGACAAGGAAGCTCTAAGTATTGTGTTTGGAGTAAAGAAATTCCACATTTATCTGTATGGTCGCGAGATTACCTTGATAACCGATCATCAGCCATTAGTGTCAGTTTTCAACCCTAAGAAAGGAATTTCAGTTACCTCCACTGCACGAATGCAAAGACATGCAATATTTTTAAGTGGATATACGAACAACATTGAATATCGCAATACAAAACGCCACACGAATGCGGTTGGATTGTCACGAATTCCTCAGGAAAAGGAGGGACTTGAGGCCAAAGACTTAACTGATGTAGCAGATATGTTTACACTCAGTCAAATGGAACAAATATCATGTATTACGCACCAGGAAATTAGAAGAGAAACGTCAAGAGACAAAATTTTGTCAAAAGTGTACGATTGCATTGTTAATGGTTGTACTGAAAATGAGGACCCAAATCTAAATGCATACTTCAGTAGAAGGAATGAATTGACTGTTAGTCAAGGCTGTGTCATGTGGGGATGCAGAGTTATAATTCCACAGCGATTTCAGAAAAGAGTACTTGAAATGTTTCATTCAGCTCACCCCGGAATCGTGCGAATGAAACTTTTGACGAGAAGTTACGTTTGGTGGCCGGGAATCGATTTGGAAATCGAAAAGCTTGTTAAAAGTTGTTCTGGATGCCAGAAAACCGCACCCTTACATCCGTTGGAATGTCCGTCAGCTCCGTGGAAACGTATCCACATTGATTTTGCAGGACCATTTTTAGGACACATGTTTCTTATTGTCGTGGACGCACATTCAAAATGGCAAGAAGTTATTCCTATGCAGACGACCACGTCAACCAAAACGATAATTACTTTGCGTAATATCTTTACAAGAAACGGATTATCGGAGCAGCTTGTTTCCGATAATGACCCACAATTTGTGTCCGAAGAATTTTGTTCAAACTTTTAAACAATGTATGAAAGCCATGGAGAAAAAAAATGCGGACATTCATAAGAAGTTAGCAAATTTTCTTCTTACGTACCGTAACACGCCTCACGCCACAACAAACGAAAGGCCAGCGATGTTATTCATGGGGAGAAACCTTAGATGCCGTTTTGACCTTATCAAACCTGACCTGGGACGAACTGTTAATGATAAGCAAATGAAAACTGCAATCACTACCAAAGCAGAGAAATTAAGAGAATTCAACACTGGACAACAAGTGGCAGTTAGGGATTACCTCGGGAAGGAGAAACGGACCAGCGGCGAAATTATTCAGCGCAAAGGATCATTAAACTACGAAGTAAAAACACAAGCAGGGGGAATATGGAAGCGACACGCTGACCAGATCCGAGATGCCGAGTTCAAGGCCGACCCTGAGCAGAATTCCTATGTGGTAATATCAATAACTGATGAGAAAGCTCAAGCAGCTAACAGTGAAGCAGACGAGACGTCTGACCAATCACCGCCGATAATTAATGCACCACAGGAGCGCCGATATCCATTGCGAACCAGGAAGCCTGTGGTCAAATTAAACTTGTGAATGGCTGTTTGTGTAAGCACCGACTGGGTAATAATAATTCCCATAACAGCCAATAATTAGCAGTGGTTATAGTGCGCGTAGAAACAGAAATTTCTTTTGCAACCACATTAGTATTGTAAATAATTAGGAACGTTAGTAAAAGTTATTTGATGTATATCTTTACTAATTATTTCTCCTTCGATATTTTCTCAATTAAAGGTTAAACACAAGATCAAACACTTCCTTTAAGTTTGGCTTAATGGTGGCTTATAGGTCCTTAATGATGGTTTAATGGTTGTCTTTAAATCACCATTAAGCACCTTTAAGCTACATTTAAGTAATAAATACACCATCATTAAGTTACAATTAAGTCATCTCAAAGTCCTTAATGGATGCTTAAAGGTAGCGTAATGGTGGCTTATAGGTGCTTAATGGTAGCTTCTAGACAATCATTAAGTCACCATTAAGCGACCATTAAGCCAGACTTATAGGTGCTTAATGTCCAAACTCCATTAAGCTACCATTAAACCACCTTTTAGCCACCATTAAGTCACCATTACCCAGTCGATAAAACTTCTTTTACGGGTTAAATATTATTTTTATAATGATTTTTTCACAAAAATTATAAATGCCGAGTTTATACATTTGTTAATTTGGTGAAAATAATGTAAAAGAAAGAAAATTAAAAAAAAAAAAAAATAAATGATTAAAAAAAAAAACATTCCGAACAGGATTCGATCCCACGACCTTTACATTGGAGGGCGAACGCTTTAACCACTGAGCTATGAAGGCTATTGAAATTGAAGCAAAATATAAAACCTTTATTTTTAGCAAAATTTGTTTGGAATGGTTACAGGTACTTGTACATGTATTTTTTTCCTGATGTTTATATTTATTAATCAATAATACGAATAATTATATTCATATATATACATATATTTTAAAAAAGAAATTTTGATAAAGTTTTATATTACGTTAATATTTCTTAACCGTGGACCGGAGTTCGGTGTGATGGTGTGAAACAACTTTTTGATTTTAAGTAACTGAATTCGTCGTTCTGTTATTCGCAGATTTATAAGCATAAAAAGATTGAAATTCAACAGATATAAGAAAATTTTGTTATTAAAAAGGAATATATCATCGAAAGAGGACGAATGGGAAAAAAACAGATTATAGTTCTTATAAATATGCTGCGGATATTTACGATTTTTAACAATCTTTGCGTAACAATTAAAATATTTTTGTAACATATCATCTTCAGTTTTAATTCTTTTTATATTATTATGGGTATCAAAGTAATTGTCTTTTTGTGTACAATCATAATTTCTAATTTGTTATATGCTTGTGTAAATTTTAAGTTTTGTAAAAAATAGATCATCAGAATCTGTCACTGTACGTTCCCATGTATAGTTTCCTGTTAATTGACCGGGGACTGGTGGGGACACCTCATTAAGGTCTATTGTCTAACTAGGCGATATACTGTACACTGATTATTTTACCCCGCTTTTCAATGTGTATAAATCTGGCCGGATACCCTGTTTAATCTGATCGGCTGTTCTTCTGAAAATTGATTTTTAAATAACAATCATTGAAGACCGACTATATTTTGATCAATTCTTACTTCCGCATTATTTCAAATAAATACTTACTTCTGCATTATTTTAAATAAATTCTTACTTCTGCAGTATTTTAATAGATAGGAAAAAATAATGGCACTTAACCACGAATTAATTCAAATTATTCATGAATTAATTCAATAATTGTCAATATAATCTATACCTATATATTTTTTTTATATCTTAAACATTTCTCTACCCAAAGAAAAATTAAGAGACTAAGAGATATTCCAGAAGAAAATGACACTTATTACATTTCCTATGAATTCGGCAGTGGAACGTGGCTCTCCAAACACGAAAGAAAAATGTGATTTTTTTAAAATATATATTATGTATTTATAGATAAAAATAATTTTAAAACAAGTAATCAAACAAACTGATTTTAGGGAGCGAAAATTTTAAGGCATTTGGTGAAGCTGTTCTCAGTTCCCGAGATTATACGCATTGACAAAGATGTTAGAAATAGCGAGAAAAAAATTATGAATTGAATTATGAATTGAATAAGTATTTGCGTAAATGATACTGAAACAACTTCAAACTTAACAAGTTAGTTTAAAGACTTGATACTGGATGTGTTAAGGTGGTTTAATTAAGTTTGGACATTAAGTCACCATTAAGCTGCAGCTTAAAAGTGGCTTAATGGTAGCTTAATGAAGTTTGGACATTAAACACCTAGAAGCTGCAGCTTAATGGTGGCTTAATGGTGGCTTAAAGGAATTAACTTCTATAAGCCACCATTAAGCTACCATTAAGCGATTGCTTAAAGATGGTCTTTCGTCCTGTGAAATTTGAATATTATTTTATCTGATGGACATAAAATAAGAAGGGAGGAAATGTGTTCTCGTATTCAGTGTATTAATAAACAACACTATATAGCCGTATAAACAATCCAGTGAACTGTTTATATTAACTTTACTATGTGTTCGGACATCAGCATCCAGTCCCAGGAATATCATATTACATTGCCAGACTTAATACTCTGTACATGTGTTTGTATGCTTTAGTCTAGAATAAAATGCTAATCTGTAAAGATGCCTTCTAGTACTCATTTCTTGTGTTAAACAAAAACAACACAAAAATGAAGTATTGGCATTATGTTAATATTTATCAAATAAATCATAGGCCCATCCCCCACACGCACCTGCACCTAGCACCTGTTACATATTCACTCAAACTGCAAGTTTAGGAAGTTTTGCATGGTGGTGTCACTTCTTCGTCGAGATAATTTTTATTTGGATATTTCTTAACAAAAACTATGAAAAATTGGCGAATTGGGTATAATTTTAATATTTTTATGAAACAAATCACATAGAACACCACCACCTCCCATTAAGCATGCAAACTGCAAAATTAAGGAAATCTTTTAGAAACTTTCAACCTTGAAGAAAATATGAACATGTCAATTGAGAGACAAATTTATGTGGTATCGGTGTAGGTGACTATTTTCTGAATGCATGTTCAAGAATTTATCATGATTCTTCATTTTATTCAAAGAGCTTGCTTGTTTGTGTAAATTCAGGGTTTTTTTGAAAAAGATGTTGCAAGACTAGTGGGTGCTTTCCCAGAATATACCCACAAGGTGACAGAGGCTGTTGTGACTGTCAAGTTGGTCTTCTCTGAGGAAGATGGGAGATGTGCAAAGGTATTAAATTTTAAAAGTATGATTGGTTTGTTGAAGATATTATTCTTCATAAATTATTTAGATACCTTACCATCTTTTAAATCAAGATTGTGATTTAATTGTACACCTTATTTTAATGATTAATTTTTAATTAGTCAGAGTATCACCAAAATTAAACCCGAGCTGTGTCAGAAGGGACAAATATTAGTCTTTCAGAGGGCCTTCTTTATTGATGTGGAATACATGACTATTTAATTGCAGAAGGTAACTCATGTACATATCTAATCATACTAATGAAAAGACATTCAAATTATCATTAATGTTATGCATTTTTGTCCAGCTAAATTTATTCTTAAAGACCATTTAGGAGTTTAGCTGTTCAAAAATGATTAATGTACAAACAAACTGGCATGGCTCTGGATTTCAGATATCTATATTAACTGCAGAAAGACTCTATGAATCTGTCAAGTAGTTGATTATTATTTTCTTTCACAATTTTTTTTTAATTTAAAAGATATTTTGGGTTCTAAACAGCTATTCTGCACAGGGCTTAATAACCTTTGCATCCAGGTCTTGTAAAAGGACCCTGTCCCAATTGAAATTTACTTTTTTCCCCAAAAATGTAGGCAAAAATTCCCAAATGACAAGCAGATTAACTTTTTCAGTGCTTTTTAAGAGATAAAAAAATTTGAGATTTTAACAACTCATACAGATGGGAATATTGTATAAGCCTTCAACTGAACTCTCTATTCAACAGTAAAACTTATATAAAACCTAAATATTCCCAAATTTTGCGACTTTTTCAATTTTAAATTTCCCAATGGAAAGGGTTTAGGACCCTGTACCAGAAAGGGTCAATTATGCACTGCTGCAGTATGCACTGTTCATGTTCACAAATATTTCTGGAAACTGAAATTTTCTTATCCTTATTTATTAATTGAATAAAATTACCGAATTTATTTATTTATTTATTTATTTATTTTTGTTTGTTTGTTTGTTTGTTTGTTTTTTTTTTTTTGTACCCAAGAATTTTGTATTTCTTTTTTTCCCAGGCATATATCAAGCACATGTCCTCATTTTGCCTTGCCAATGACCAAATCAGTAGATGACAGCAGTATCTGAAGATTGTTTTGATGGAGTTGAATAGACATGCGCGGATGGGGGGGGGGGGGTCGGAATTGGCAGAGTTTTTAAAAGTATATACTGAAAC